TAAATTTTTTATTAGAAACAACTCAAATTCAAATATTTGTATAGTACATAGATTTATTATTATACTACTTCAATTGTTACGTTTGTGTGGGAAGAAGTTAATAGTAAGATTAGTTATATTAAAGTTTAAAGAGTAAACGCCAAAATATGAAAAAGTTGAGAGGCGAAAATGCATTTTCCTTATTTATTAATTAATTGTGATTATTATTATAGTAATAAATAGAAAAAAAATAAAAAAAAAATACATCAATAATTAATTATGAATGTTGTTTAATTGATTATAATCATAAATATATTTTTATTTCTTTTAATTTAACAATATAAACGATTATATTACTTTAGATGTCTAATTTATAAATACTTTGACTTTTTTTTAATCATTCATCATCGATTTAGCTCGAAAATTGACATTATTAGCCTATTATTACCTACCTTAAACCATTTTTAATTTACTAAAATTAAAGTAAAAAAAACTAAAATTTAAAATAGTACAGTTTTATATTACATTTCTTTTAAAATATAAATATGTAATATTATTATAATTTAAATTATAAAAATTTATAAATTAAGTTTTAATGATTTATTATAATAGAATAATTTAATATTTAAAAAGAACAATTATTAATATATTTAAGTACGGTCTGAAATATATATTCAAAAATAGAAAGAAATGAAAAATGAGTTATCTCATGCTATCTTGTCAGCTATACCAGAAAAAACTCTCGCTAAATATATGGGATCATGTTTTTTTTACTTTGTTTAAGAAAAATATTCCTCATAAACTAACCAATGAAATCAATGGATGGAATGCGTGTTTTCTAAGCTTACGCGTTTTTACTTGTTTAAGAAAAATATTCCTCACACTAAAACGTGGAGGCTGAAAATGTTAGAGACAGAGAGATTCCACAAACATAAATTAAATTCTAAATTTTAAGGAAAAATAATTACTTCTTACATCAAAAGAGAAGTGCATTAATTATAAACTATTAAAACACAAATAAATAGTTATAATCATTAATTATAAACTTTTAACACACAAATAAATATTAATAATAATTAATTATAAACTCTTAATTTTTATTCAAGTGTACAGTAAACCGTCTAATCATTCACATATCCAAATATTTTGACGTACTATTTTTGTGACCTCCTCAAACTCTCTTGATGACCATGTGATCATAATCATTAGACTGTTTCGTTAATTTATAGGAAGATTAACTATAATACTTAATAACTCAAGATAACTTCTAATCAAAAGTCACTAAAAAATCTATAAATATAAATATAAATTTAAGATAAAAAAGCATATGATTACATTTAAAACATGTTTAATATCTAAACGGTCAAACTTAAACCAACTTTCACATTAGAACATCTTTTTGTCCTCCTAATAATATTGGACAAATGACTAAGATAGTTTAGAAGTGAAGGACGATGTTTTAACACTTTGAACGATTACATTACTGGTAAAAGTTGAGTTCGACCTTATTCCACAAAAAAAAAAGTATTTTTAAATATTAAATAACTACTTTACATATAGTTTTTAGTAGTATTTATTTTTTCTATAATAATAAAGAATAATGAAAATATAAAATTAAATATAAATGCATTTTTAATTTAACTGTAAATAATTTTTACTTATTTTATAAATAATTTTTATTTATTTAATTTAAAAAATAATTAAATTAAAAAATAGTTAAATAAGAAATTAGTATTATTGTAAATTTTTGTAATTATCGATAAATTTTTATTGATGAAAATAAATTTGTTGATAAATTTAATATATAGATAAATTTTGTTGATGAATTTTAGAATTTAAATTATTGTGAAATATTTTTATCAATAATTTGTTTATTGGTAAAATTTATTGATAAATTAGAATTTGTATCATTAATAAATATTTTTATTGATAGTGTATACATAAGTCAATTTTGTCGATAAATTCAATTGGTAATTTATAATTTAGAAAATTTCATAGGTAAAATGAACAACAATTTTTTTTTAACAAAACTGATGAATTGTTTTTTATATATTAAAGAGAGAGGAACGAGAAGAAGAAAACAGAAGAAAATAAGAATGGAGAGAGGCAGTGCAATGGTGTTAATAGGGAGGAACAATAGTGGCATACGATGACAATGGTGGAAGCAAAATAAAAAGAAAAAGACGAAAGAAAAAAGAAAAAAGAAAATAAAGAAAAAAAAACTCAAACTAACTTTTATTGACAAACTTAAATTTGTTAATAATTATTAGTTGATATTTATTGATATATTTGCAGTAACACATATTTTTCTTATTATCAATTAATAGTGTTATGAAGTAATTATTAATTTTGTTATTGTGTATCTATCTTGTTAAGCTAGTCAATGGTGCACTATAAGTGTTACTTCCAAATAGTTTTTCTTTTCTTTTTTTCCTTTCTTTTAATTCACATATAAGGGACTGAAATCGTATTTCTAACATGATTTTTTTCAATATAGTGCACTTATCTAATTATTTTTCAATCATAAGACAAGTATTTAATGATTTTTTTTTAAACTTTGCATTTATTAAGAATACAGTATCATGTCTTTGTTCAATTTCAAAAGTTCATTATTTGGATGCAAGAAACTTGGAAACACCGTGTTTGTTGATGATGGAAAACATGAAGCAAGCAACACCATTAATTTTTTTTCCTCATCATCCATCTTATAGTATGTTATGAATTTAGAAACGTGAAGTGAGTGATGGATGCGGAGAAGATCCCCATATACAAGATATTCAAATGAACTAGTAAATAGATTGTAAAAATTAATTAAATATTTAAGTAAAATCATTTATATATAATTTTTAAAAAAGTATTTTAAAAATTACAATATTTAATTGGACTTAATTATTAATTAATTTTATTTTGAAAAAAATAACATTATTTTATTTTTAAAAAGAAATTAAAAACTTAATTAAATTAAAATTTTAAAAATAAGAACTGAATTAAATAAAAGATACTATAAGGAGTCTAATTTAAAACATTATCTAACAAAAAAGACTTAATTAAATTATTTTAACAAAAAATAAAATTTAATTGAAAAAATAAATAATTAAATAATTAAAACAAAATTGACGACAAAATAAGGAATCTAGTCATAATTTGATGGGAGTTGTGGGTAGTCAAAGAGTAAAAAATGTGGCGGTCAACTGTGTAATATAAGTCACACATGATTTATATAGAAACAAGAACATGGTATTTCAGCTGAACATATTTCCTGAACCCCTGTTTTTGTCTCTTTATTATATGTGTCGCTCATTCTTGTATTTGCTAATTCTGAAAGAAAGATTGACGCTTTTGCTCACACTTGGTCAGCATTGTCAATGGCGTCTCAATGTCTCTCATCCTTTTTTCCAAAACTAACTATTTTCAGCATTAGGGATTTAGATAACTCTCCTGTTCTCTGTAACCTATATTTCTTCATTTCGTTTTTCTTCGCTTCCAACAGGTAATTCCCTCTCATTCATCTCTCTCTTTTCTTCTTCTTCGTCTTCTTTTTTTAATTTCTTAATTTAATGGTGAATTAGTTAATAGCGAGTTTCAGAGAGATTGGTTTATTCACTCATCTTGGCCTTGTTTCTCCTATGATTTGAGTCCATATCAAGGTAAAACATTATGAGATTGTATTCCAAGAAGAGTCTTTCTTCTTTTAAATCAGCATCATCATGGTTCGAGATATATGCTGCCTTCTCCACACTCACGATTCTCCTCAGAACTGCAATCAATGATCTCATGCCCCATCAGTTTCGATCCTACATCATCTTAAAGCTAGAGGGATTCTTCTGCAAATACCGATCAAATAACAAAGTCTCTATCAAAATTAACCAATTTTGGGATGAAATGTGTGGAGAGCGTAATGAACTTTTTGAAGCAGCCTTGACGTACCTCCCCACCAAGATTACTCACACCTACAAATCGCTCAAAGTTGGCAGACGACAAAACCATAAACACCTTGAGTTTGCAGTGGACGGAGGTGATGATGTGGTGGACAAATTTGAAGGCATGACGTTAACTTGGAAACTGAATGAGGGGTCCAAGGAGGATCCTAGGAACATGAAGAATAACTTTGTATTAACCTTCAATGAGAAACAGAGACAAATGGTACTGGATCGGTATATCCCACATATGGTTAAAACATATGAGGCCATGAAAAATGAGAGAAGGATTTTAAAATTGTATTCTTGGTTAAATGACTTTTGGAACGAAAGTGACTTATCACATCCCGCCACATTTAACTCACTAGCCTTGAGTCCTGAGTTGAAGAAAGATATAATTGATGATTTGGATCGGTTCTTGAGGAGGAAGGACCTTTACAAGAAAGTGGGGAAGGCTTGGAAGCGTGGCTACTTGTTGCATGGACCCCCCGGAACTGGAAAATCTAGCCTTATTGCAGCCATGGCAAACTATTTGAAATTCGATGTGTTTGATTTGGAGCTTTCTTCGATCTTCTCAAACTCAGACCTTATGAGATGCCTGAAGGAAGCATCTAACCGTTGCATAATTGTGATTGAAGACATAGATTGCAACAAGGAGGTGCATGCAAGATCAAATCCAAATGGTACTTCAGAGGATCAAGATTCAGAGTCTGACAGTGAGGGTGCAAAGGTTTGTTTTTGCGTTAATCATTCATTTATCTTTGTAAGCAACATATGAGTGTTTTTCTTAAAATTAATTAACAGATGAAGTCAAAGAGCTTTACTTTGTCTGGTTTACTTAACTACATGGACGGTTTGAGCTCAAGTGGTGGAGAGGAGCGGATTATAATATTCACTACTAACCACAAAGAGAAAATTGACCCAGCGTTGTTGCGCCCTGGTCGAATGGACATGCACATTCACATGTCCTTCCTCAAAGGCAAGGCCTTTCGAATGTTGGCTTCCAATTATTTGGGCATTCAAGGACATCATCCACTCTTTCAGCAAATTGACGATCTATTAGAGAAAGTAGAAATCACACCTGCAGTGGTAGGGGAGCAACTATTGAGATATGAGGATCCTCACCTTTGTTTGGAAGAACTTGTTCAATTTCTGACACAAAAGGTCAATGATAGTAATTGTGATTCAGTTGAGAGGGTTGTTTTCAGTAGGAGCATTGACACCAATACGCCTAATTGATACACTCAAATAAATTAATATTTTATTATAATATAATATTTTTTGGAAAAATAAATTTTAAATGGAAGTTATTTGTGAACAATGGTGTTATAATATAAAGGATAACGATAATTTGACATTTTTTTTTACAACATTTTAATATCATTTAAGTGTTATTCTGTGATTGGTCCAAAATTACTCCACAATCAATAATAATAATTATTATAAACACTAACATTGATCAATCACAGAATGACAAGTACATGATGTAAAATGTTATAAAAAAATATTGTCAAAATATCATTATCCTAATATAATATAGGCACAACTTTAATTGTAGCGGAAGTCGTTGAAGGTTTGCACGACTTCTGTATAATGTGGTATGTGTTAAAATCGTTGTAAGCTTGTACGACTTCTTTGTATAAATATATTTTTTATGTTAAATACATTAAATAAAAGTCAAATAATTTTTGAATAAAAATTTATTAACAGATAAGAAACTAAATAAAGGATGTAAGGACAAAAAGTAGTTTTACCTAATAAGAAGTACATCTAATAACAATTTTGGTAAAGAGAAAATAACATATACTAAAACTAAAGTAAACAAAGTTGATGTAATAGAGTGATGACAACTACACAAAATGAAATTCCAATCTCTATTTGGGGTGATTGTTTATACTATGACATATACTTTGCAAAAAGAATATGTTTTTGGTTTGTTTAAAATTGACTGGTCCATTTTACTCTAAATACAACTTGTAGTTGGAACTAGTGCAAAAACAACGTATAACGTCATGGGTTTAACGTCGAACAACTAAATAGCCAACGTTAAAAATGACCGGTGACATTTTTGTAAATAAATGCAATTATTAAACGTCGTTTATAATTGTAATTCGACGTAAAATGATATAAAACGTCGAATGTCCTAGCGTTAGACATTAAAAGATTAGTGAATTCAATAAAAATTTGAGCGGGAGATTGAAAATTAATTCACTTTATCTTAGCGCTCCAGACCCTCTTCTCTTCTCAAACTTTTCTCGAACGAAGTTTGATGACCATCACAGGTAATCTTTCTTTCATTTGATACAAATGCATGTTAATTAACTACTTTATGTATGATTTTCGTTTGTTTTTAACTGATTATTTTCGTGTTCTTGTCCTTCATAGATGCATTCTGCTTTCTCTCTCACTGGTGACGACACTTTATTCCGATGAACCCACCTTTTGAAGGTTAGTTTTCGTTTTCGTTTTGAAGAACTTATTTGTTGAACTTGTTTGTTGTTGTTTTTTTGAACTTGTTTATGGTTGTTGTTTGGTTGAACTTGTTTGTCATTGTTGTTTGGTTGAACTTGTTTGTTTGAACTTGTTTGTTGTTGTTTGATTGAACTTGTTTGTTGTTGGTTATTGTTGTTTGTTGTTGATCAAAGTTCATACTTTATAAAATATCAAAAACTTAAAATTTGTTGTTTTTCTGCTTTTCAGATCTCGTAGAGTTGTTAAAAAGGATCACAATTAATTAAAAAAATAAAAAACAATTAACATCGAATATTGACAAAATTCGACATTAATTTAACGTCGAAATTTTTAAAATTCGACGTCAATTTAACTTCTCCTGAAATGACGTCGTTCACGAATTCGCCGTTAAAAGCCCAAAATATTCGACGTTGTAAGCGATTTTTGTACTAGTGTGGTCTTCTTGATTCTTTGTGTCGCATGCAGATGTCAGGAATTAAACTTGAAGCCATATAAATAGGTCAATAATCTTCATTTTGAATAAGATAAAATTACACCTTATAAGCCCTGAAAATATTTTGAAGGTTGTAGATAGGGTCTACAAATGTCGTTAGTTGTAAATGGAAGTAAGAGCAAACAACCATTACATGATGAAGGTGGGCAAAGAGCTTGAAACTTCCCACAATCACACTACCAATCATTTAACTTAACAATAAATGAATTGAATAACGACATTCAAGTTGGGGAGTGAAAATCTCTTGAACATCAAACACAAAATTCTATCAATTATATCTCTGAACACGACACATGGCTAATCATTGTTCATTTTTTCTTAATAAACCATAAATATATTTCAGATATTTGTGGCTGGCTCGTAACATGGATCTATTCTTTGTCCATCGTTCCACAAACCATGTTTTGATTATTTTGAAAATTGTCTTAAGAAGAGAAAATTGACAATGATCTTACTCCCTTCAAAATAAAGTTCATACATTTGACTAACTTTGTTGTCTTGTGCTATTACCTCTTGTCCCATCATAATTTCGGATATACTTTTTCAACGATAGTTGGTCTATTCAAGAAGCTACTTGTAGAAATTCGGCTCTCATAGGAAATAACTTTGCTTGAAATGTGGGTTGTTTTATCTCATAACTTGTGGCAATATAATCATTAGAATCAGCTAAACATTTAATAATGTTTATAATATTTCCAAATTGAAAAATAGTTAATATAGGTACACATTTTTATTAGTTGTCTCTTTAACTTTACATTTTTTAACATTTTGTTGAAATTAGATGGGACAAGACAAATGCAATACACAAATGTGAGACCATCTCCTTCCCAAACAACTTCTAGAGATTATAGTGATAAGAGTACAACATTGCTTCTATTAATGATAAATCATACATTTGGTTGAGGTATCATATATTCTCGCAAAAAGAAGAGGATAAGGAGGTGGTGCGATGGTGGCTTGATGATGATGTGGTAGTGGCTCGGAGGTGTGCTAGTGGTTGGTGATGTTAGTGAAGAAGTAAAGGAGGAGGAGGTGGAGGAAAAGAAAGAGGAAAATGAAAAGAAATAAGAGGGTGAAAAGGAAGAAAAAGAGGGGGATGACATGGAGGTGGTGATAACACCAACCTTGTAAGGAGGAGAGGAGAATGAGAAGAGGAAGAAGGTAAATAAAGAAAAGAAAACGAAGAGGAAGATGAAGAGTAAGAAATGGACTCAATCGTGAATTTTACTTATAGATATTACTGAGAGTCAGAATCTATCAAGTAATTACTGATAAATATTTACGTTATTGACGAATTTGTGTCGATTAATAAAGTTCACTAACAAATTTTTCAATCTGTCGATAAAGTTTACCGGCAATCACTTTACTGATAAAATTATAATTACAATATATTTTTGTTATTAATAATCGACTTTTCTGTCATTTTATTGTAACGTTATTTAATTTTATTTTTTTCCTCAAATTTTATCTCATAATTTATCTTATAGCAAGTTATGAAATTGGAAGCGTGAATTTACTCATGAATAAGAAGATAACCCATATATACAATATATTCAAGTGAAGGAGTACACATATTATAATCCACACCTTGTCACAATTTTTTTTTTACTTTTCGTTTACTCTTATTTAAAGAAAGAGTACAAGAATACAAATTGGAACAATAAATTGACTGAAGAATAAAATAAAGCACAGTTTTTGTCACATAGCAATTTTCCAACTTATTAATTAGGAGGGTGAAGAGTTACAACTAAGATTGTTTCATAATGAAGAATTAGAATTTGGGATTATGATGAAAGAGGATCTTATTGAAGGGTTCTCAAGTGTTTTTCCTTTTGTAACATTTAATATGTTGCTATTTTATTTTTTAATCTTGTAACAATAATTTAGTTGAAATGACTTTTTTTTTTCTTTTATGGAGTTATCAAAACAAAGTGGTTCATTCATTTACAAAATGATTTATGAATTTAAATGATTTTGGTCAAATTGGTTTTCAGTGTAATCCATCCAACTCCAATTTTTAGTTGTACTAATGTGGGTTAACAAGTTATGTTTAACATTCAACAGGAATAAAATTTATATTTTTTTACTTATGTTTTAATTGCTGCTAATTAATTAAAATTAAATCTGTATCTTTATAATTTATTAAATAAGAATTTGTATTAACGTCAATACGCATCTTATGGAAGTAAAACTTTTTTTAATGAAAAATAATATCACAAGAATTTAAGCAATTGCATTTGAATTTTGTTTCTTAACTAAATGTTCTAAAACATTACTATTAAATATCTGTTTTCCCATATATAATTGAATAAACAACCTTACATAATAAAATAAAATAAGTTAATATAATAACAATATTCAAAGTATTAAAAGCATTTCACATTAACATAAATCAAGCTAATTGATAATTAATTGAAGCGACTTTTAAAAAAAACTGATACATGTGTTAAGTTATTACATTTGGTAGAGTATGATCATATAGTATGATAAAAATTTTAATACGTCGATGATTTTTTTTTTTATAAAATTTAAAGTATGGAATGATTTATTTTTAAGAATGAAGTCATGAGTTTTTTTATAATAAATATGTTTTTTAATATATGTGTAATATAATTTTTTTATGGATTTTATATGCTTTTATATTTTTTTAATAAATTTTTTATATAATAACAATGTTTAACAAAAACTTATTTTAAAAATATACAGTAAAACTGATTTAAAATTAAATATTTTTGATAATTTAAATATTTTGCCTATTATATAATCAATATATGGTAACTACTAAGCCACAAGTTTATTTGTTCAGTTGTAACTTATTTGACCTCAAAGCAATTTGTATTTGGTTCATTTAATTTGATAATCTACTCATATTAGTTAAAGTTTTTTCCAATAATGTGTAAGTAAAATAGTTATAAGAAATAGAAGAGTAAAATAAATTAAATTTCTTTCGATATCTTTAAGAAGTTTATGTACTGAATACTAATTATTAATAATATTTATTGTATATAATATAAGTATAATACTCGTTATTATATAAATATAAATATTTTTAATTTCCATATATTCATTTGATGAACATTTTTTATCATAAACTTAATTATAAATATTTATACTATTATAGAATAAAGAAGAATATTAAATTATAAATATTTTTACTTTTTTTAATGTGGAATCTTTAGAAAATTTGCGCTTCTACTTATTTTTCATTTGTAAAATTAAGAACAATATTAATTATTTTTTATCAATTATATTCTTAAGAATTTTTAAATCTTTAAATAGTTTAAAGATATATTTATTATGTAAGTGGGGGTATAAAGCGAAAAATTAGAAAATCATGTAATTATTTTATTATAGTGAATAAATTATTATATTTTAAAATGTTAATAAAAAATATTATTGGAGTTGTTTGTAGTAGAAAAGAAGAGGGAAACACGTGGCGGTCAATTATAGATTGTGTGATAAAAAGTGACACATGATTGAAACGAAACTGACGATGATGACATACATAGGACAAAATCCTAGTATTTCGCCTAAACATGTTCCCAAACCGATCTTTCTGTCTCTTTTTGTCATGTCTCATTTCTTCTTGTAATTTCTAATTCTGAAAGAGAGATTTACGCTCTTACTCACACTTGGTCAGCATTGTCAATGGCGCTTCACTGTCTTTCGCCCGTTTTTCCAAAACTAACTATTTTCAGCATGAGGGATTTAGATAACCCTCGTCTTCTCTATAACCCCTTTTTCTTCATCCTGCTTTTCTTCTCTTCCAAGAAGAATTTCTTCCCATTCATCTCTTTCTTCTTTTTTCTTCCTCCCGCACTGTCTCGGCATCAATATTCCTTCTTGCTTTTCACAACTAGCGCGATTTCACCGGTACCGTCTCCAATCGTTTCATTTTTATTGTTTTTGGGTTATCCTTAAAAGGTAAATGAAAAGAAAAAGAAGATGCGGTGTGTGTATCTAATGAATTGTTGGTTGATGCGGTTGCAGGCAGGGCATTTGGGATTGTGTTTCTTTCCTTTAATGCCCTGAGTGATATGTACGCTTGAATCGACTTTCATTTCAACACCTGCAAGCCCAGAGAAGCTGTCAACTCAAACGACACCATGTCTGGTACTATGTCTTCCAAAACTGGTTAACTTATCATTATTATTATTATTGTTATTATCATGGATGCGGCTCTTGAATGCTGTAATGTGTGGCAGGTTCTTTCAAGCAGAAACTGAGGAATTCCTTGACGAAAAAGGGTAGGCGAAGCAGCAAGGTCATGTCCATTGAAATAGAGGATGTCCACGATGCTGAGGAGTTGAAAATAGTTGATGAGTTCCGTCAAGCTCTTATTTTGGACGAACTACTCCCTGCAAAACACGATGATTACCATATGATGCTTAGGTTTTTTTCCTTTCCTATGCCTTTCCCTATATATGGATTCAGACTCTCTGCATTCTCATTTAAAGGCATTCTCATATCCCACGATGGACAAAGATCGGAAGACTCATATTTTATCGTGGCCAATCAGCTTAAAACATATTCAAAGTCTCTGTTGTCTGATCTTCATCTAATGGTTATAACATGAGTGCAAACATGACCACACTGATTCCGTTTATCATATGGCTAGCATGCTGCATGGTTATTTGTTCCTTGTCCTAGAATGAATGTGTACTTGCATATCATCTCATGTCATTGATTAAAATAAGAAGTTGAAATACACTTGTATTTTTGTTGAATAGATTCCTCAAGGCCAGAAAGTTTGATGTTGAGAAAACAAAGGAAATGTGGACTGAAATGCTCAAATGGAGGAAGGAGTTTGGTGCTGACACTATTCAGGAGGTACTTGAAATGACAATGTTTTTTGAGACATGAGGGGATTTATTTATTTTATTTTTAAATGTTATTGCTTTCCACGATTGAGAGTTTTATTTAACCAGTTTCCTTCCTATTATGGGCGTTTTTGTTTCCTTTATACCAGGACTTTGATTTCAAAGAAATTGATGAAGTTTTGCAATATTATCCCCAAGGACACCATGGAGTGGACAAAGAGGGAAGGCCTGTATATATCGAGAGACTAGGCCAAGTCGATGCCGGGAAAATGATGCAAGTCACAACCATGGATCGCTATATCAAATACCATGTAAAGGAGTTCGAGAGGACATTTGATGTGAAGTTTGCAGCTTGTTCGATTGCTGCAAAGAAGCACATCGATCAAAGTACAACTATCCTCGATGTGCAGGGAGTGGTAAGAGAAATAGTTAATCATATGCGCCAAGAATGAAGTCATAATTTATTAAAAAAAATTGGCATTTCAACATAGCGTAGCTTAAATGAGAAAATGTTAAAAGCCGAGAGATAGTATTTTATCGGATTGAAAATGAATCCTAACATGAATAGCAGAGAAAAAATNCATCAATATTCCTTCTTGCTTTTCACAACTAGCGCGATTTCACCGGTACCGTCTCCAATCGTTTCATTTTTATTGTTTTTGGGTTATCCTTAAAAGGTAAATGAAAAGAAAAAGAAGATGCGGTGTGTGTATCTAATGAATTGTTGGTTGATGCGGTTGCAGGCAGGGCATTTGGGATTGTGTTTCTTTCCTTTAATGCCCTGAGTGATATGTACGCTTGAATCGACTTTCATTTCAACACCTGCAAGCCCAGAGAAGCTGTCAACTCAAACGACACCATGTCTGGTACTATGTCTTCCAAAACTGGTTAACTTATCATTATTATTATTATTGTTATTATCATGGATGCGGCTCTTGAATGCTGTAATGTGTGGCAGGTTCTTTCAAGCAGAAACTGAGGAATTCCTTGACGAAAAAGGGTAGGCGAAGCAGCAAGGTCATGTCCATTGAAATAGAGGATGTCCACGATGCTGAGGAGTTGAAAATAGTTGATGAGTTCCGTCAAGCTCTTATTTTGGACGAACTACTCCCTGCAAAACACGATGATTACCATATGATGCTTAGGTTTTTTTCCTTTCCTATGCCTTTCCCTATATATGGATTCAGACTCTCTGCATTCTCATTTAAAGGCATTCTCATATCCCACGATGGACAAAGATCGGAAGACTCATATTTTATCGTGGCCAATCAGCTTAAAACATATTCAAAGTCTCTGTTGTCTGATCTTCATCTAATGGTTATAACATGAGTGCAAACATGACCACACTGATTCCGTTTATCATATGGCTAGCATGCTGCATGGTTATTTGTTCCTTGTCCTAGAATGAATGTGTACTTGCATATCATCTCATGTCATTGATTAAAATAAGAAGTTGAAATACACTTGTATTTTTGTTGAATAGATTCCTCAAGGCCAGAAAGTTTGATGTTGAGAAAACAAAGGAAATGTGGACTGAAATGCTCAAATGGAGGAAGGAGTTTGGTGCTGACACTATTCAGGAGGTACTTGAAATGACAATGTTTTTTGAGACATGAGGGGATTTATTTATTTTATTTTTAAATGTTATTGCTTTCCACGATTGAGAGTTTTATTTAACCAGTTTCCTTCCTATTATGGGCGTTTTTGTTTCCTTTATACCAGGACTTTGATTTCAAAGAAATTGATGAAGTTTTGCAATATTATCCCCAAGGACACCATGGAGTGGACAAAGAGGGAAGGCCTGTATATATCGAGAGACTAGGCCAAGTCGATGCCGGGAAAATGATGCAAGTCACAACCATGGATCGCTATATCAAATACCATGTAAAGGAGTTCGAGAGGACATTTGATGTGAAGTTTGCAGCTTGTTCGATTGCTGCAAAGAAGCACATCGATCAAAGTACAACTATCCTCGATGTGCAGGGAGTGGTAAGAGAAATAGTTAATCATATGCGCCAAGAATGAAGTCATAATTTATTAAAAAAAATTGGCATTTCAACATAGCGTAGCTTAAATGAGAAAATGTTAAAAGCCGAGAGATAGTATTTTATCGGATTGAAAATGAATCCTAACATGAATAGCAGAGAAAAAATTGGAAAATATGAGAAGTTGCTAAAACTGCAATATTGAATCAATGCCACAGGGGCTTAAAAGCTTCAACAAACATGCTAGGGAACTCGTTACTCGTCTTCAGAAGATTGACGGTGATAACTATCCTGAGGTATTTCTTAGTTTTTCTACTTTGGCTAAAATTTTATTGTGAATAAATATCATGGATTACTGAGTAATATTACGTACATGGTTTCTCCATTGCAGACCTTGAACCGCATGTTCATCATCAATGCAGGTTCTGGATTCAGAATACTGTGGAACACCGTAAAATCATTCCTTGATCCTAAGACCACAGCAAAAATCAATGTGAGCATATAAACAGTACCCTAAATCTGCTTGTTTGGTCAGAAAAATATAATAATGTCACTCAAACATAAATTTCCAGGTTCTTGGCAACAAGTTTGACACCAAATTGCTAGAAATAATTGATGCAAGGTGAGTCCATGAATAGGTGACAGCATTTGGTTTACATTGTTTCACATATACTTTTTATCTCTTTGATTGATTCCTCTGCCTTCATTATCCACCTTGAAGTCTTTATATAGAACTGACGAAAGGTTATTGAAAAGCTTCTTGGTTTTGCTTTGGCAGTGAGTTGCCTGAATTTTTGGGAGGTACTTGTACTTGTGAAGGAGGCTGTATGCGCTCTGATAAGGGCCCATGGAAGGATCCAGAAATACTAAAGGTAAGCCTGTGCTCCATTTTATTTGAACTCTTTCTTTCCCTTCCTTCTCTACTTATAACCTCAGCTGTAGTTTTGGTATGTATCATTCATAAACCTATTGTATTATGGAATTGCAGATGGTTCACAGCGGTGCTCACAAATGCTCAAGAAAGGGTGACTCACACGAGGAAGAGAAATCAATCGCTGAGGTCAGATAGCTCATTCTAATTAGCTCTTTGATTATCTTGTGATACATTTCGTTTTCATTTAGTTGAGCCTCTTCAAATGCTCCGCTTTCTTTCATTTATGAAATTTTGAACTAATAAGTGAGCATATACGCCCAGGAACCCGAGACTCCCAAGTTCGAGGCAGCCCCTCAGGTTGCTCCCGTTGCTGAAGTGGTATGTTAAATATGCATTCTTAATATATATTATTGTTACATTCTTAATATAACAATAATACACTTGTTATAAGAGTTAAAATAGGAACATATTTTATGTTTACTAAATGGAAGAATATCTATTATATGTTCTTACAGATGACAAATTATGAAACCAGAAAACATACGACTGAACATGCGTGTGCCTTTCCTTTTTTTCTAGTTTCAAGAACATTTCAAGAGTTCTATTTCATCTTACTGGCTTTTAGGAATGCTCTTTTTAGTTCTGAACGTTGAGTAATGTTTAAGGAATTAAAAATTAAATATTTTTATTAAATGGTATAATTGTGACATTTTCACTTTCGAGCCTCTCAGGTCACTGCTACTATTGAAGCCTCCAAGCCTGTGGAGTTAGCCCCAGCGGCTGTCGAGAAACCTTGCCAACCTAATGACGCAGTTGATCCAACTGCGGCAGCAGCGGCTGCAGCGGCGGCGGCGGCGGCAGCGGCAGCATCAACAGGTACACGTTGAATACAATTTTATTTCTTCCATCATTCTATGCTAAATTTATTCTTTAGAACCAAGCATATACTAAGTAGGAAATCACCACGTGGTGGATTCATTCGTTAATTAATTCAGCATCAGTTCTTTTGTTTTCTTGTTATTGAAAAATTCGTGATTCCTAAAACATCTAAAGTCCGTGGTGTCCAGTGTCTATCAAAGGCTCTTCTGCTCAATCGCTTTTGACCAATTTGCCTGCAACGTGCTTGTCTCCTGCAGAGTTTGCGACTGTGATGAAACGCATGGCTGAGTTGGAGGAGAAAATGGTGACCATGAATAAGCAGCCTGCAGCCATGCCACCCGAGAAGGAGAAAATGCTTAATGCAACTATGACTCGGGCCGATGACTTGGAGCAGCAACTTTTGGCCACCAAGAAGGTAAAACATTATTCATTACATGGCCATTAAAGTATAAATTTAAAAGCATTAGCAGAGTGATTTAGTAGGCGCATTTGGGTATCAGGTAATCGTGTTATGGTTCGCATTGTCAGGCTCTGGAGGATTCACTTGTTAAGCAAGAAGAGCTTTCTGCTTTACATCGAGAAAAAGAAGAAGAAGAAGAAGAGATTCGTATGTGCCTCATCTTGTTAAGTTCTGGTACTTGCTGCAGAATTATTTGTTTACTGAAGGATTTTGGTTTTTTTGTTGCAGTACTTCTTTTAAATAAGCAAATGAAATCAGTGGATGGCCGAAGTGGAGGTCGAGAGATCAACGGGGAATTAAGTTTTAGTTTTGTGCCTTTCAGGAAGATTTTCCAAATGCCCTCTAACACAAAATGTTCCTACATGAGAACTAGTAAATTTTCTAAACGACAGAAGAAAAGCATATGCTGAATATATGAATTATGCTGATCAGATTTTGTCTCTATTAGGATAGGACTTACTCTCTATGTATAGTATTATAAGTATAATATAGGGCGGCTAAGGCAGCCCTATTATGTCCGTACAGAATGAATCATTGTCTGGTACAAAATTAGAGAGTATGTTTGACATATGGTATGAAAAACTAACTCACGAAAACAGCTCCCTTTTCCTGTCGCACTAACGAAGAGAACTAACAAAAGGGCATCATATGCTGGCCTGAACGGACATCAAACCAAAACTTTCTACGACCCATCAAATTCTTTGCTCTGTCTTCAACTTTAAACTCAACCAGTTATGTTCACCAAAAATACCTCAATATGAATAATAAATAAACTAAAACAAAAAGAAGAGGCAACCAGCCCCACCAAACCTATGGTCATCACCTTCGGAACCTTTTTCACATCGGCGAAAAATAATTCAAAAACTGGGAGGATTTATTGAATAAAAATGTAAAATGCTAGGTTGCACAACGCTGTGCTTTATTAATTCACACACACATTTCACATATGATTAATTAATAAAAATTATTTTTTATAATATTTTAATCTTATAAAATCCAAATCAATATAAATATATATCATTATCATTATTATTTTTGTAGTTCATATTTTATATCTGCACTTCTATTTCAATTTATTTTTTTCAAGACCAATACATGTTTTTGCAAAAATTCCATCATAATACACTTTTGTTTTTTTATCGTGAAATGAAAGACATTAAAACATAATTAATTAGAATAACCATTCTATCAAATCTAAGATATGCAATTCACTCGCATGTAATGTTATATTATATTTAAGTGAATTTTTATTTATAAAAGATAAAGAACTTATTTATAAGAAATTATATATATATATATATATATATATATATATATGGGTTTGCTAACGCGTTGGTATATTTTAGCAATGTGTATCGGGTTTTAGTAGACAAAAA